TTGTACCTAAAGCATATACTGATTGTACACTAGTTGTACCTGGTTGTACACTGTTAGTGTGTTTCAAAGTGATTTCACAGTACCTTTTTCCAGCCTACTGGTATATAGGTATTCAATGTCTTGCATTTAAATTATTGTCCAAAACAGCCTTTGTTTAGTTATAATACTAAAACATTTGGTATTGTGACAATGAAACATGAAGTTCGTGATCTCACAGCTTAAATACAAAGCTTTAAGAAGACTGTTAGTACTGTTTATCACACTTCACCAGCATTCTGGGTCACAGAAAGCTAGATGAATTATATTTCATCTCTGGTAGAATATATTCTTGATACTTTCATTCTTACAGATATTGATTCATTTAATCTGGAATCAGCTGAAATTACTCTGTTCTTTTGACTGGTCTCGTTTATGAGAGGCCTATGAAATTATCAAAACATCATAATTAGTAAAAGCAATTTAAGCTGACTTTCAGTGGTATGTTGATGGAAACCAAATTCTGGCAATACTGCTGTTGAACCATGTGTGGCTGAGTGTTTCCCAGTCTGTGGGAGATGGGAGCTACATCATGCTCTGCAGTGCACGTACACTCTGTGGTGTATCCCTTAGAGCTGCAGTGGCGCCTCTTGCTGTCTGTCACTTCACCTCAGAGGTCTGACTGCTTTTCTGGCTTTGGCTCAAGTAAGGCTGCATTGAGACTCACAGAAGAGGGGATGGTCTATGGAGTGGAACAAGTTCATTGTAAGAAACTGCACTCTGGATCAGGACTATTTTTACAAAGGGCCTGTGGTTTTTAGTGTCCAACCAAAAGTCAAGTAAGGAACACTGGCATTTGAAAGACTGCTTGCATATTAAGAAAATAAATTGATTTCATATTGAAAATCCATTATTTTCCTGACAGCTGGAGGAGGAGGAAGTGGAATAAGCATTACAACAGCTGCTGTGAACACTCACCTGAGGGCTTCTGAAGGCCTAGCATCCCTGACTGGCTGTGTCAGACTTAGCAAGAAATTTATGTATAGTAAGGAATTTCAGCAATATATGATTTCTCTGCAGAAGGCAAAGGAAATACTTTGGGAATCCCTATGTTAACTTAGGTGTGTATTTCATTAAAATGCTGTGAAAATCAGCACTCTAGTAAGTGCTTTTGTGCCTTATTTTGCATAGCTTGAGCTGATAAAAAGCTTGAGTTAAGGTATGGAAATAGAGAGTATGTTTCAAGAAAAAAAAATTAAAGGAATTTTGTAGGAAGTTGTAATTCATTGTATTCTATCAGAAAATGCAGAAGTGCTATGCCTTGAGCATGTTACTTGTTTTTTCTGTTACACATCCTGCCTTGGAAGAAGAGTGGTTCAGTTTATAACAAGCCTTTCTTCTAGAGCTTCAATCCATTGTCTTTCACTGCCCTTGTGAAGGAACTTGGTCACCTGCCTTCTCATCCAAAGGAGCCAAGAGATCATGGACCAATCAGGAGGTCCTTTTGCTGTAGAAGGGGACGTAAAAAGCACATATTCCCTGGTTTACTTTGCATTTAGCCTTTCAGGATAAAGTAGCATTAAAGCAAGATGTTCTATAGAAAACCAGTAATTATTCATGTCATTTTTTTCAAAATTAAGAGGCTGGTAATTTTGACAGATTGTATGGTTTTTACCACATTGCCTCCATAGTGAATTTGCTAACCAAAAACATGCTAAAATTGATAATTTCTCAGAACTTTTCATGTCAAAACCAGTTTTGTCAGTGTTTTTAATCTGTTTGTCTATTTAGAACATTAGAACCCCTATTTAGAACATTAGGGTTTTTTTAGGTTTTAAAACTTCCTTTTTGTAAATACCTCTTCATGTAGACTTTATTTTCTCTTGTGGAAAATCTTATTACATCTTGATGTAAGGAGGGTTGCATTTTAACTGTCACAGCTCAAAACTGTCTTGATCTGAATTAATCCAAAGTGAGTACTGTCTAAAATTGACAGTAGATGTAATTTGGATTGTAAGGTAGGATTTTGGGTTTAAAATTTTCATGAAGATGGCACAGATTTTTGTTGTAACATACACCTATTTTCCTTCACACCTGCGTTGCGGTTTTTAGAGTTCTGTATAATATTTCTTGTATTAGCACTTGCTTAACTGTTAGACTGTATCTGTTTTAGTATTTCAGCTTGATTCTGCAATATTGCCTTGATCAGGATGATCAGATAATTTGCAAACTACTCATTCATTCAGTCTGGTCCCAGCCTCTCAGTTTGTTGGGAATTGTTCTTGGTTATTTCATGTTCTGGTTTTTGTTGGTTTAATATGATTAAAGAGCTGCAAGTTGGAGGTCTCATATTAATCTCACTATTTCTAAATAGTGGGAAAATTATGGTCTATTACAATGACTGATTTTTAAGATTTAAAATTTATATCTAACATCATCTACTAAAAACATAAGGTTTCCTTTTTTTTTTTTTACTTAGGAGAGAGAGATGTACAGGTCTTGCAGATGTGTGCCACAAGTCTCTTTGTAAAGCTTTATTCCAGCAGAGCTCAGTGCTGATTCAGAAATCTGCAGTGTCTGATTTCATTGCAGAATCAATCTTTCCCAAAGGAGTAGTCCTTAATTTCTTTGGCATGTTTCTTCCTTGGTGTTTTCCTGTTGGCTTCTGCTACCAGATGAGTCCCTGGGATTGCAGGTGTGCTCCAGTGGGGCCAGCACTGGAGAGCACATAGCTGAGAGCAGCAGAGGACCTTCGCCACCACCCTGTCCCTCTGACCTCTGCATCTCATCCCACATCTTGCCAGCAACAAGCCTGGTACTGCCCCAGTCCCCCTCCACATCTATCTAGTAAAGCTCTGCCAGTGAGCCCTGGTGCTGCATAGGCAATTGCATTGTCAAAACCCCCAAAATTTTGGAAGTGACAACAGCCATGCACTAATAGACTCAGCCATCTGTTTCTTAGTGTTGCTGCCTTCAACTGGAAATATAGAGGAGAATGTAACTTGTGCCCCAGATTCCCCACAGTGATGCAGCAAATAGCACCTTCTTCCAAACACCAAACCCATTTATCAGTGTGAGTTTTTGAACCACAGCACTGGCCTAAACTCAAACTGGTAAATATATTAAACATTTAATACACTTTTATCTCCACAAACAACTCTTCAGGAAACAACATAATAGAAAATGAACTCATTTTCTGCAGCCACTTTCATACTTTTCTAATTACAAAAGACTTCCCACAAATATGTTACAGTAGGTTTGTTTTTTTTTTTTTTCCTGCAGGAGCCCAGAAATGTGATTAGCTCATTACCACATAAAAGAATTCAGTATCTCAAAAGTCTTGCTACAAAATTTTCTTGTATGAAGCCAAGTTAATAAGCACCAACCATTAATGGACTGTGTCAAAGACACAAAGTTGTATCCAGGAGGAGGTAAGGGAAAAAGAATTTCCTAATTTCCCAATTATTTGGTAATTAGTGCATTCTTGGTGACTTGTAATTGCCCACGGGCTTAAAGCAATTGAAGAAAAAGGGGCTAATTCTTGTATAATTCTAAACAGCTGCTTGAGATAGGTATTAGTTTATGTCTGTATCTCAAATTATACCCTCTGTCCTTGCATACATTGCTGCAGAAACGAGATCAAGTCATCCAACATGTTTGTAAGTGATTTGAAATGTGTTTGACATAGTAAGCCTAAGCAGTTTGATGTCAGAGCCCAAACACGGAGAAGAGCTGCCTCTAATAGAGAATATCTAAACTCTGAGATTACAAGTGTGGTTTGGGACAAGTGTGTGTTACAATGCTTGTGATACACTGCACTTCTTGGCAAGAGGCTGCTCCTGAGCACACAGCTCTGCTCCTGCATCCAAGTGAGCTGCAAGAATACAATTTTGTTTGTGTAACTGCAGCTCTACTAGTCACTTTTGCCACACCTGGTATGAGGCACGAGGCTAAAAGATGCTACTTATTTGTTCAGAAGTCTGCCCAGAAACAAGGGCATAGTGCTGATGTGAGAAGGTGCTGTGCAGAAATGGTAATTGCCCAATTATTGGTCAGAGGGGTGTGTGTGGAGAACAAACATCAACCTTGGCTTCACTCTGTGAGAACTTGTTGTATTGTAGTTCTCTTAGGCCGACTTTGGATTTCACAACATCACAGGTACATACCCAGTTGCAGGCAGGGACTCCTAGGTTCGTTTATGCAAACTCCTAGAGAATCTTGGCAACGAAGGAGATAAATTGTGTAAAGAACAAGAACAACCTGAGGGGACAACCACTGGGCTCCTACTGGTTTGTAAATCACGGAGATGTGCATGATAGGTGAGGCAGGGAATTTGAGGCTGAATCTGTAGCCAGAGCAGTCAGGGTGGTTAAAGGATCCTTCTGTCCCCAGCGTGCTGCAGGCTTGGTGCTGCACAGTCCAAAACTACATCTTGTGGCTGAAGGAGCCTCTTCTCCAAAGATGCCCAACAAAAGGAATCTTCTATTCCGTGGCCATGTGCCCACCCTGGGCTGATACAAGCTTTGCACTCAGGTAGAAGGATAAAGATTCCATTCCTTGTTCAATAAGTGTAAAATCAGTGCGAAATCTGAATGTATTGCCTAAAACCTGAATATAAAATAAATCTAGAACCAAAGACATGGTATGATGGACCAAGATAGAAATTTTGGATCTAAAACCAGCCTGATTTTATACTAATACAGATTTTTTCCCCCTCTGGCTGTGCACAGAAAGATGATACCAATTAATTGGTATCATGAATTGGTATCATCTATTTACAACATCAGAGTAACTACAAAATTGATTATCCTGGATTTATTGAACAGTAACTATTTACCCAGTTTTGGATTTTCACAATATTTAATTTATGTAGACTGCTAGCATGCACACTAATTCTAATTTGATGAGATTTTATAATTATTCGTAGTAGGGAAAAATGTAAACTCTGCAAACATTTGGACAACGCTAAAACTCATCTTCCTAACACAGCCAAACCAATAGCAGCTTCTGCAAATGAAACATCATATATTTAAAACTTTTCACTTTATTAACAATAAATTATCTGTGGCATCACCAATCAACAAAACACTAAAGAGACAGTGAGCAGATTGTCTGTATAATGATCAGAAAGGCAACATTATCAGTACCTTCATAAAAACTGGAGAAATGCCAATGAACTTATATACATGTACCACTTGCAACCATATGAACACTGACCAGAAGAAATATATTCCTAAGTTTCTCCAATTTTTCTGTTAAGTAAGGCAGTAATAAAAAGCACAGCATCACAATTAAGTACAACTCTAGGTACTGAGCCCTGGCATAATGCAGTGCTCAGAGGAATGTGCAAAATAAACACCTGGATTTGCACTTTGATTCTTTGTTGTGTAAAATTAAAAAACAACACAAAGTCACAACTCTTCTTGATTCCATTGTCCAGAAAAACAAAAGCAAAACTGGAGAATCCAGATTGACAAAGATCTTCTCTCAGCCTGTAGTACCATTTGGAATATCTTGAGCATCAGCTAAATGTAGCTTTTGGCTGAAGCCAATCATTAAGGAATAACACTTTCACATACAGATAAGGCATGAACAAGACAGCAGTGTTACATGAAACTCTGCTTACTCTGGGTATGCACCAGTCCAGACAAACTCTGTTCTGGTGAGTCTTGTGCTAGTCCCCCACCAGTTGATTAATATCTCTCAATGAGATTTGAGCATTAGATACCTACAGCATTAGCATGGGGATCAAGGGCAATGACAGATTATTTTTATCATGATAGCATATTATTGTCCCATTCCACTTGTCCTCTTTTATGAAGTCTGCTTGAAGATGCAGGAAATGTAGATCCCAGTGCAGGATCTTAAGCCCCAAAAACTAGAGCCTCGCCTCCTCAATGCATACCAAGTGTGTAACAACAGAAATAACCAGACTGCAGAGTAAACGGAGTGCTACACTCCTCCACTGCCATCCTGGCTTATCAAAAGCACAGTGTGAAAGACAAGCTGAGACATTCAGCTTTATCTTCTCTGTGGGCTAAGAGCACACATTTGTTCCATTTCCTAAGCTCTGCTGAAGTACCTGACCCTAGAAATAAAAAATTAGGTCAGCTCACTCTCCGCGGTCAAGCAGTGATAAACGACCACACACGTTTCTAGAAAAAAATGAAACGGTAATAGAATTCACTTATCAGTGAGACAGATGCCTCTGAATATTGTGGAAGGAATATTACTATGGATGTTTGTTCCAGAGTGTCTCAATAAGATGCATGCAGGAAGAGCCTGCTGCTGATGGGTTTTGCCACTGACAATACACTGCGGTACACAAGTGGAACATGGTAGCTAAATAAATCACCAGGTGAAAAAAACAGCCTATAAGTACGTGTGTTAAGATACAGTCACTTATGTATTGGAAGAACCTAAAAATTGATGCTGTATTATAGTACTCATTTAAAAGCACAGCATCACAATTAACTACAACTCTAGGTACTGAGCCCTGCAGTGCTCAGAGGAATGTGGAAAATAAACACCTGGATTTGCACTTTGATTCTGTGTAAAATTAAAAACCAAACAATACAAAGCATTATCAAAGGAATCTGACTCTTGTAAAGGCATCAGCTACTAGGGAAACACACACTGCAATTTGACTACAGTTAGTAATTATAATGCAAAATAAGCATTTTAGGAAAAGGATACATAGATGAATTTAGTTCTTCTAGCTGCAATATAAATGTAGAAATTATGAGAAATGGCACTTCAGTTAGTCAAAGAAATGCAACAATTATGCTGGTATGCTGAAATGAACACATTAAAATAATGAAGGAAATAACTAATACCTTGGGCCGAAATGTATGATTTCTTGCAAGAATCAAACCTACACGGAATTCTACACAATGAGCTAAGTTCCAAATTAAGTTTGGAAATTTTGGAAATATAGTTTCCAAAATTGATCTCAAGAAATTTAAAGAAATTTAAACAATTCTTGTTTTTATGGAAATACACTAGACAAAGTGTAGAATGTACAGATCTGTACTCTTTGTTATGTGTCACCTTCCCCAGATGTAGGAGGATGGACTGCAGGGAAAGTGGTTGTAGTTCCCTAGTACGTGGGCTGTCCCTAAGCAGGCTGACAGGCTCAGGCAGCTTGCAGCCAGCCTGCTCCCCTCCCCAGAGCAACCAGCAACTGTAACAAATGAAAACAGCTCCTGTGTTCTCTCAGAACCCAGAGGAGGGCAGGGCACACCTTGGTTCAATGAAGAGCTACGTTCTCCTCAATGTAAATCACTGCGCACACAGGGGCGCTGTTTTCCTAAACCAAGCTTTGCTGTGGGCTAAGTTCCATGATTTCTGCCTTCCCAGTACTTACATCTGACAGCAGTCTATCCAGGTTGGAATCACTGGCTAGTTTTCTTTTATCTTCAGGGAGTTCTTCCATCTCCCCATAGAGCTCCAGATTGAGGCGAGCAAGTTTCTCCTGCATACTCCGCACGTGCTCCATCTGCTCTATGGAACATTCATTTCCTAAAACAACAAGTAAAAACTTTATATAAAGAAACCCAAGAGCAAAAATGAAGATTTGAAGATGCAGCTTTTTACATCAGAGAATTTAAACATCAATTTTACAAGTACATTTGCTTTCTCGGTGTTTTCACTATTGAAGTTTCGGTCATCCCATTTGTTGCTGTGTTGTGCTGAATTTGCAGTAGCTATCCAATGTTCTCAGAGCTTTTTAGAATGCACGTGGTTTTTCTATACTCTTGAATTTTTCTCTGATTCAAAAAGACCCTGTATTTTAACTTAAAATTCAGTTAAAAAAAACTTCTTTCCAATTCTGATTTCTCTAAGGGTTGCTTTCTTGAAACAGATGGTTGATATAATACAAACTTGTCAGGTTCTTTTGTAAAATCAGTGTGGAATTGACACATTTACCTAACACTAAACTTGCAAAAGTAAACATGCATTTTTCTACTTAGTACAAGGGAGAAAAGAATGCAAAAATGTGCAAAATTTCTTCTAAAACCTCTTATTAACTCTGAGGCTGTAAAAATACTAAGAAGCTAAGACAGAAGAGTAACCTAAGTAAAATGCAGCTTGCATTGAATTTCATAAAAGTTGTTACCAATAGTCTTAAATGTTCATATGCAACAAAACTGGGTGCTAAACACAGTTACTTCTTCCTACATAAATAAGTGATTTTAAACTTGGTATCTTAAGGAAAGGTGTTTCCTTGCTGGAAGGAATAATCTCACAACACAGACAACGTTACAGTGTAACTCTAATTTTAAAATGCAGTAAGATGTATTAATTATGTTGATTTCATGTGGCAGTCTGTCCATGCAGCACACTTGTTTGCAAATGTTACCACAGTACAGCTATAAAAAACAACTACTGTGCACACGCAATTCATGCACTCACCAAATGCCTGAAGTTTGCCAGAGTGGAAGTCATTCAAGAGACTCAGAAGTCCCCTTTCCATTTCCTGGACATCTGATACATCTGTGAGAAAAGAATGCTGAATTGGTGCTGCCTGTGCCCCTTTTGCTTCAGCTCCTGGAGGTTTGGCTTTCTCTTTGATTACGCTAAAAAAAAAATTGAACAAAACAAATATTACTTCCTGCTTTCAATTTCACTGTAAATTTGAAATGTAAGGAAGTGTACACCTGAGCTTTGCAAATTAAATGAGAAATACATAGTGCATATTTCAGTCACTGCTTTTAAGATAAACACTGGACCTCCAGCTTGTCTTACAAATAAAGAACATCACTATCTCAACATTTTGATACTGCAAAATGAAGGGTTCCAACAGTCTGCTTTCCTGCTCACAGAAGGAACCATCAATGGACCACACATCTGTGATGGCCATCTTAGTAACATAAAGTGGGCCAGCACTACCCAGCAGTGACAATAGGGCATTAGCACAGAGAAGACCTCTAAGATCATCAAGTCCAACCATTAACCCAGCACAGCCATGTTCGCCACTAACCCACATCCTCAAGCACCACACTCATGATTTTTTAACATTTCCAGGGATGGTAATTCCACCACTTTTCCAGGCAGACATTATCTACAAAAAATCACGCAAAAGGCATCTGCAAGCCAGAGAGAAACCCCTTGAAAAATCATACTCTCCTCCTGTCACAAACATCTGTAGACTCCAACTCCTGTGGAAAACAGCTGGTTATAAGCTCTGCAAGGTGACCTTGACTCCACATAAATTTTCTTAGAGCTCTTTCTTTCAGCCCACAAATAACATCCCAATTTTGTAAATCTCACCATCAAAATCACTGTCCCACTACTCTAATGTACCAAATGAAACTCGTCTGTGCCCAAACATCAAATTGCTAAAAATGGTCTACAACCCTTCCTGCAAGAAAATCATCAAAATCCCTAGATCCCATACACTTCTCTCTAGACATAGCACTTATTCAGAGCACCATATGTCCATAGAAACTACATGGATGAAAATTAAAAACCATGTTAAATCCCTGTGAACACACAACCAATATGGAAACAGGCAGCTACCAGTGAGAAGCAGCATGTTCCATCTCTGACCCAGAGACAGACAGACAGACAGACTACATCCTAATACAGTTTAGGTAGGAGGCTGTCCTGCAGCCTTGTGATGAATCTGTTCAGAACCTGATCCAGTGAAAAAATCTGAGTCTAAACATTTTAATTTAGAATACTATGGGATATTAAAAAAAAAAATCACAGACTTAAAAAGAGGCTTTATTTAATTAATGAAGATAATGGGGTTTAAAGCACAGTAAGGCCTACCCTTCCCATGCTCTGCAAATTCTCTCTTTCTTATGGGAAATAATAATTCTTTGTCCAGCCCAAGAGATTCTGTAGTCTATAAAACATCATATAGACTATATGCTATGGAAACAACCAGCAGTCCAACAATCACCATATCCAGTTCAACTCAGAGCAACTCAGTTTAGGTTCTGCTTCAGTTTCAGACTTAATGGTTTGCACAACAGACAGGTCATCCATTTTTCTACCTGATTCTGATGTTTAATAAAATAAACTATTAGTCTTTGAGAACTTACTTCATTGGATTCTTGCAGATAAAGTGAAAATTAAATACTCTTACTCCATTATCACAGCAGCAGTTCATCCTCACATTATTATGTCAATTACCTCTCCTGCTTGATAAGTTCAAACAATTATCTGTATTAGCATTGCTTGGTAAGTTTAACAATTGTGCAAGAATGGCCAGAACTTGGAGCAAAAAGGACATTTTCTTCTCTACACAATCTTTTGGACAGCAAGAAATTAATTTCTAGTAAATCCCAGGATAATAATGTTGAGACTTGAGTAGACTGTTCAGTCAACTGCAGAAGCCACCAATTTATAGCACATTAGTATTTACTAATATTTCCCTCTAAGTATTAACACAGTTTTCCTGAAAAATAATGTACTTTACATTGCAGAAATTAATTATTTATCAGGTCAATACTGCATCCTTCAAACAGACTCTCTGCTGATGCTGACAGTTCTGTATTTAATCTTCAGCTAAAACTCAGAGGTCAGTAAATTCTGCTGCCTCTCTCCAGCTAACATTTCACTTTAAAATTCCTCTTCATTTATTTATCTACTGTGTCTGCCATAGCCAAAAAACTCATTTTCTAACATGCAAGTAAATTAGTGTTCTCAAACTGAAACCAAGTTATCATCAAAAAACCACAGACTATTCTGATGTACTTTCTGAAGAACTGAATGTCTCTCTTTACTCAAGACACTCCCCCAGCTGAGAGGTCCCCAGTCACAAAACACCTGGAAATTCCAGTTCTAGCTCATCCTGTTCAATTTATGTCCTTCATTTCCTGCCACAGTTGTCAGTTCCAACCTTGCAGTCATGTAATATTTCATTTGTTCCTCACAGCTGTACATCTGGGGCTCTGCTATCTCCCATATGATGCCCAAATCTGATCACCCAACTTGTGTCTTTCATCAGGCACATCAGGCTACATTCAGATAAATTGCTGTTGGTATGAGTTTACAGCATTGTGTAACATTTCATTAAGCTTACAAGAAAAGTGCAAAACACCTTCCTTTGCTGTAAAATAACCATTATATTGCATTAAATATGTATCATGTTGCTAAAAAAGACACATCATCAAAACTTTTCACAAGTCTGAAGCTTTTCTGTCACAGCCAATCTAAACCACCTTAGACTGTCTCAGCATTGCCAAGTTCCTGGCTCTCACTCCCTCTAGGTCTCCAAATGGCCCAAGCTTACCGTTTTAACTTTGGTTTTTGTACGGCAGGCTGTGGGGCAGGGTTGGAAAAGGCTGTACTTTTACTGACTGGCACAGAGCTTTTCTTGGAGTTAGCAACCTGAGCAGAGTGACTGGAAGATGATTTTGGGCTCCTCCTCTTGATCTTCCTTTCTTCCATTTCTTCCAATTTACTGCATCTAGACTAATGTCTTCATAGGAAAGAAAAGAAAGTGAGGAAAAAATCCGTTAAAACTGGCATTCACAATAAAAGCAAGTAGAAAGACAGCTCGTGGAAATTAAACTTGTAGTTCCTTCAGAGATAAGCAGTCCCTCATTTCTGAGAGCAAGAGAATCCAGTTTCCAGGAGAAGCTGCCCGCCCTGCTTGATGAGCGGAAGGGGCAGGACTTAAAAGCTCTATTTGCCAACAGGTACCTCCAAATGATCTCAAGCACTGTGTCCCATGGCTTACGGCTAGGGGACACCACGACTGCTCGGGCCCACGGCAGGCAAAACACTGACAAGTGCTGTGGCACGGGGATGCCGCGACCCATCCGTGCCACAGAACCGCCTCTGCTCAGGGAAACTCAGCCGATGCCAGCTTGTTGTTGCTGTGACGCAGCTGCTGTTACCGCTGCTCCACACTTGCTATTACTGTCACACACTTGCTGTCACTGCCGTGAGACACGCTTATTGTTATTGTGTGTTGTTATCACTCCTACACCACCGACGGGCCCTGCCCAGCTCCGCACGCACAGCCCACCCGTGTGCGGTTACCGGGCGCTCCCCCGCCGCCTCCTGGCCGGTGAAACGCCTCTGACACCCGTTACACCCCGGAGGCGGCTGAGGGCGCCCGGGCACGGCGACGTCACCCCCGGGCGCCATCGCGGACCACCGCTACCTCCCGGGATGAGGAGACCCCTGCGCGCAGCCCGGGCAGCCGCAGTCGCGTACGGCCGCTTTATTACCGCGGAGGCGCGGGACGCGGCTGCGCTCCGGGAGCGACGGGAAGCGAACGGAACCCCTCACCCGCCCGGCTCCGGCCCCGCGCCCCCTGCCCGGCAGCGCAGGCCCCGCCCCCTACCTGAAGGAAGCCCCGCCCCCGGAGCGCGCGCGGAGCCCCGCGGAAGCGGCCGGCTCGTCCCGGCGCGCGGATCACGTGACGGCGGGCCAGCCCGGCCCGGCGGCGGCGCCGCGAGGTGCATTGTGGGAGTCCCGCCCCAAGGCACCACCTCCCCCGCGGGCGGACTACAGCTCCCAGAACCCTCTGCGGAGCGGGGCGGGGCCGCGTGCCGGCGTTCGGTGGCTGTCACGGCCAAGGGTTTCTCCCGAAATATCTGATCCAAGTCCACGCGTGTTAAAACACGCGGAGAAAAACCACCGCACTGCCGACCCGGTCCTTCTCCCAGCTCACGCCGTGCGGTAGCGCTCCTTCTCCCCCCTCACTCCATCTCCTGCCTGTAATTACACCCCAGCCACAACCTGCTCTATACTGAATAGGCCTCAGCTGCTTTTTAAGGCTTCACTGAGCATCGGCCACCTCAAATTAATGATTTACACCTATGGAAAATCACAGAGTCATTAGGGTTGGAAGGCACTTCTGGAGATCATCCAGTCCGACCCCGTGCTGAGGCAGGGTCACCTAGAGCAGGTGACACAGGAACGCGTCCAGGTGGGGTTTGAGGTGTCCAGAGAGACTCCGCAACCTCCCCAGCGGGTTCAGTGCTCTGCTGCCCTCGGTGTAAGGAGGCTGTGCCTCGTGTTGAGGCGAAACTTCTTGTTTGACTTTGTGGAGCCCTGGTCAGGGGCCTGACTCATTCATAGCCTTTGCTACCTCTGTTTATCAGCAAAAGTTTACAGCCAGCTGAACGGTGCTTATACAGGCGTCAGCTGAGCCCGTCGGGAAATGATCCTCAGGTGTTGCAAGGCATCGCAATCTCCAGATGGAGTCAGCAATAGGAATTCTCCCCAGGAGGACATGCTGGAAGAACTCAGTATATTCACATGGACTTATGTGGGCTAGGAATGCTGCCGGTGGAACAGCAAGTTCCAGACGACAAGAGGACATAGTATTAAACTGAGCCAGGGCAAGTTTAGGTTAGACATTAGAAGGAATTTCTTCACGGAAAGGGTGACTAGACATTGGAATGGGCTGCCCTGGAAGGCGCTGGAGTCACCGTCCCGGGGGGTTGTTAAGGCGAGACGGGCCGGGGCACTGAGTGCCGTGGTGTAGTTGAGGAGGCGGTGCTTGGTCACAGGTTGAACTCGCTGATCTCAGAGGTGTTTCCCAACCCGATTGTTTCCGTGCTCCCGTAGCGCTGGAGGCTGGAGGCTGGAAGGGGAGCGGAGCGGTCGGCAGAGGGGCCATCACCCCCCGGCGGCAGCGCGGGCCGTGCCGGGCCTCTCGGGGCCGTGCCGGTGTCACCCGCAGGGACGGGCGGGACGGCCCCGGCAGTGCCGGTCCCCGCCCGCAGGGGGCAGCGCCCCCCGCGCTCCCGCCCGCCGCCGCTCCGGTCCCGCTCCCAGCTCTCCCTGCCGCGGCACCGCGGGCAGGAACAGGTGTCATGGGGACGAGGACCCATCCTCGTCCCCGCGACAGATGTGACCGGAACGGCTATCGTCGCAGGTAAACCCTGCTGCCACGCTGAGTTGGATGCCGCTCTCAGGGTCATTTCCGACCTGGATTTCAGTCCTCAGTCGTTGGCTGGCAGGAACTTAATTTTCAAGGCAGGCATTATAATTAGCAGGGTGTGCCTACCTAGCCTGAGTAATGAACGAGTTCAGCCCCACCAAGTCTATTTCCTGGTGCTGTCGCTATTGCTTTTCTGGTCATCATTTAACACCTCAGTGCTCCCTGCCGGTCGTGGCTTTGTGGACTTGAATGGTCGGCACACCTTTCCTACCTATGGCTGGTAGCCGAATCTGTTTTCCCCACATGTGACAGTAGTTTGTGGCCTAGAGAAATGAACTTATCAACTATCTCTACAACTTGAATTTCTTAAACCTGCAACGAGATCTTATTTTTTTACTTGAGAAGCATGTTGTTCATCACGGTATGTTTTGTGATGAAAACTCGCAGGCATCATTCACACACCAGCTGTGAGGGGTGCTATAATCTGCATCAACCACAGTGAAAAAACATTGACCAGAAGCTTTGAGTTTGCAAGTATGTCTCAGTATGAAGTTACCTCATGACTTAACAGGTGTGCAGCACCTAGAATGCATCCCTGTCTCTGTCTAAACTATCCATGATACCAGGAGAATGATTCTCAGTTGTAGCCTGATACTGAACATTTTTATGGACCTTGAATTTAATTTAATAGCTGAGAGGCTATTAAATAGCAGTGTCTCATTGAGACTTGGATGGGATGTTACAGCTGTGGCATCCAGTGGCCACCTGGAGACCCAAAAGGGGAGATTGCATTTGGAGTGGTTCTCAGGTGAATGACAGGGACCAAATGCCCACTGAAGGTCACGCTGTAGTCAAAGTAATTCCTTGCAGCAGGACACAGTTTGGGTCTGAGGAGCCGGATCAGTTCTGATACATTATGACCAGTGTTGTTGCAAGAGGTGTGTGGTAGACTAGGGATACACTGACAGCTCACTTGTGGGAATAAACAACCTGAGAGTGTTTGCAGGTAAGCAACCAAGAATAAAGAAATTTATCTCTGTAAGGCTGGAGATGCATTACACCAAAAGGCAGTGGTACAAGAATAAGGGACAGGTAGAGAAGCTGAAACAGTTGATTCTGTGATACAAAGGGCTTCTGATATCTGGTTTGGCATGTGTTACAGGGAAACAAGAGCTAGCAAAAGTCACATGGGCTGTGAGCCAGACACAAATCCTCAGTCACAGGGCTGCCCAAGTAGAATCCTCATTTGCACACATACATATATGTGTATGCATAAATATATAGGGGGTAACAAAAAGTGGACAAATTGAGACTTACAGGCAGATTTCTGCAACCATTTGGGAAATTTGTGTAAGTACTGCTTCTCCATGGTAATGGAGAAATGTTGGGAATGTTTGTGTTCATGCAGCTCATTTCTCACATGCTATATGAGCAAGTAAATGTACCTGCCATGCAGTTGGTATATAGAGGTGTGGTTTGTTTTCCCCATGTAATTAAAGGTGTTCTGTTTGGATGGAAGGTGGCTGGGTGTCCTTTGTTTCTACCACAGCAGTTGATACAGAATGACTGATGGTCTGCTTTTAAATAAAGGGGAAATGTTTCCATCACTAAGCATTTTTAAAATAAAATTACTTTCATATTCAGGAAGCAGTTGGATTCCACAGTTAACCCTGCTTCAGTTTAGTGTCTCAGTAGGAGGGAACAAATACTACAGAGAGTACAATAAATTTTAGCATGCAGGAAATATTTTGCTCCAAGTGAATTACTTATCCCTGCACACTACACCACATTAGAATTATTATTAAGGTGCCTCTGTTATTTTTATATCTGATTTAAGAGAGCCTACAGGGCAGATAATTGGAAAGCATCAGATTTTATGTTTTCATAGAGAAAGTAATTCAATAGTGAATAATTAATTTCTTTTAAAAGATAATAGTAAGTTAAGAGCAGAGAATTAAAGGTAGTATGGTCTTGATTTGTTACTAGAAATCCTATTGCAGATAACACAGTTGCCTAGAATCAAATAAAGTTTGAGGGAGGAAAAAGACATGTTTTAGACTATCTCTATCTGAGATTTTGCATAATTTTGTATTGTGATAATGATTCATGGTCCAGGAAAGACTTTTTTCTTCCTTTAAAAGGCTTTTTTTCTGACAACTCCACCATGCATTACAGTGGTAGCATTTGTGTTGACTGAAATGCTCCAAGGGTAACAGTTTTAATGGCAACCACGTTATTGTTAAGGCAGCAAATTAAAAACTTAATTGACTCTGATTTTATTTACATGCATATCTACTTACAAACTAGAAGCCCACCTTTGAAGATGCTTTGAAGAAGAACTTCAAAGAAGTTAAGTCTGTACTTTGTATTGAGATATGCATGCAAATAAAATCAGATTCCTCTTTCTGAAAACCCTATTCAGTTAACATGAGATGGCAAGTCGGTTCTAAAGGCTTCCAAGACAATGATGAAAGCACTGGGTTCTTTAGTTTCTATAATTAATTTCAGATGTATTTCACAGGTTGGCACCTTGTACTCATAGAATCCTGACATTGCTGTAGCATCACTTTCCGGAAAAGAGCATGGTCTGGGACAAATCTGCCCATAGGAAGGAAAGTACTTATTGCTGATTTGTGAGGAGCAGCATAACAAGGTGTATATGTATCTATCAGCCAGATAAGCATGCAGAACAAAGCAGCAAAGTTGAAATTATACATATAACTAATTGCCACTGGAGTAGTATGAATGTAGAATTGCATGGGTTAGACACATGTACTCTTTACAGATTGGTGATGGATATGTTCTCAAGAAATGTGACTGAAAATTTGTCAACATGTATGCTTATATTGATGTCTCTCTCCCCACACAATCATTATGCTAAGGGATATGATCATATATAAGATCATATAAAGCATTTGATTTATGTGTTGTTATTGATCAGTTTCCACATCTCTAGCATGAATAGTCCATTGAAATCAGTACTGTTACACAAGAACAAGCAGTTTAGAACCTCCGCCAGTATTGTGTGCTTACAAAGTGTTCTGATTGCAAAAAATCAATACTTGATTGGCTACCAAGACATTAAATACATTGCCTGC